TGATAGGAGCGTCAAAAACCAAATTTGACACCACGTCTTCCATATTCAGGTAGTGCGACAAATGGGACACCTGCGTTTTGCCTTTATGATTGATTCAACAGCAATCACCGTGACATAAAGGTGTTCCAACGGAATGGACTACCGTGAGATAGTTTGATGTTTCAAACGCGCCGACAATTAGTCGATTATCTGGACCCTACGTCAATAGTTAATCAAAATTTGCATCAGCGGCGATCAAACACCATCGAGTAAGCTAATACTAATAATCAAGCTCCAACATGAACCCATAGGTCGGCAAAAACGCAAAAATAAAAATAATAAAGTCAAAAATGACTTAAGCCCTTTTCAGGTATCTTTCATAGTCGACAGTTTATAAAGTGGAACACAGAAAAATGGGCTCGTTTTCCACCTAATTCCACAACCGTAAATCGCGTTAGGTAATAAAGATAGATGCACTAGTAATTTAGGTCATTAACAATAACCTTATAAGCACCAAACAAATACAGTATTAATCTTTAAACGATAACACGACACAAGAGTCAGTTGGACATCAGCGGTTAGTTTTGCAAGAAAGCAAACAGGATTAAAGGAATCGCAATTTAGGAAATTAAGGATGATTACAATTAATGCAAGTTTAATTACACTGCAGGTTATATCAGATCTGACGTAAAGAAACATTCACGTGATGTGACATATTGCTAAAACCCGGCCCGACTTAATACAGCTAATTGCTTTCTAGAACATTCGTTGCTGCACCGGTTTCTCACCTACAGGAAGTACCTTTCAGGAAATTGTCCTAGTTTATTGGTGTCAATAAGAAACAGATTAACTAGGTAGTAAATGGAAAACGTAATGTTTACCTCAAAAGAACTAAATTAACCTAATTTGCGCAATTTTTTGGCCTAGATTTCAAAAAAACATGCCCACTTTCTGTCGTGTTAAAAATAAAAGTGACTAGTTCCAAGACGCGCACTCAGAAGCGTCACTAAACTGCTAAGGTTTGCGTCTGATCTAGTTTCGTTCTATCTTAAATATATCGGGAACATCATCGCGGTTTTAGGAGTTGCATTTTAAAAATATGAGATGTATCCCTTTAAAGAACTTATATTTAGAATTAACAAACTTGAGTCCAGGAGACCTCCTAATTTATATTCATGTCTAGTGTGCAGTTTTTCATAAAAAAATTGGTCGAAGTTTATGTCGACAGCACGTCTCTCGCTCCTAAAGTGTCCAACAAATAGCGCTTCTTTGAAAAACTATATTTTGCGATGTTTGTGTCGTGATAACCTCTATTAAGGCGCAAATTGCAAGGCACTGTGCAAATTGCACAACGTACAACGTGCAACGTAAAATACATTTAAATGAAAAAACCAACGGGAAAAATGGCCTCTCAACAATAATAAGCTTTAGCTTCAAGTGTTTGTATATGCATCGGAAAAATGTCACCTATAAATTTGCTTGATTTGAATGAGTTTGTCGCCCCAAAACAAAAGACTAAAATTATTAATTAAGCCACAGTCGAACATGTGTTATTAAATATTATAATTCTCATTAAATAAAATAAAAATGGGGTGACTGGTTCTTAATTTGATCAATAAAAAAATTGTTATGATGGCTTAAACATAGATCATTCATTTTACAAAATTGTAACAGAAAAAATTTTGCGCAATAATAAACTTGACAATTTTTGGTCAAAAGATTTAACCCGTTACTAAAAATCTTATAATTCATATAAACAAAACATCCACATTTTTTCCTTCTATGGTATTTCTCCGCGATTTGATGTTTTCTGTTAATTTTTAATAAACACAAATTAAACAAAGAGTCACTTCAAACTACAATATATCGAAAAAGAATTTTCAAACTGCAAAATGTAGTAGAAGAATGTGAACTCCAAATTCACTTCCTGTTAATTTATAGAAATTATTGCTACGAAATAAACCCATACGCCGCCTCGATTCGACGCCTATTGGTTTTCTCGAGGACTTTCTAGTATGTACGGCGATAATGGGTGACTCATCGTCGGTGATGGCGGCCGGGCGGCGTTCGCTAAAGAAAAGGCTGGAAGCGGAAGTCGCGATGGATACTCCAGAAAAACATCGGAATATCTAAAAAGGAAGTATGGGTTTAAATAGAAGCTACCTTCGGGAACGATTCATTGAATGAACGAGTGGAGTCCCATGATGATGAAAATTGAGTCTAGTCACATTCATTCCAGTCGGAATTATTGTTTACATAATCCCTGTATAGTTAGTCGTGTAAATTAGTATAACTGAGAAATAAATTGTTGAGTTTTATCCACGCCGATTTTACTTACCGATTTCGTAACGTTATTTTAAAAACGTTTTCACCTTATCAACAATCACTTAAATTACCTCGGATTTACCAAATAACTGACATTTTATACAGTTTCGCTTCTGAGTTCGAAAGTCGGTACAGAGTATTATATACCTTAATTATAAGAACTTAAAAAAATACTAGTTCATATTCACTTGATCTTTTATTTATTTTTTTTTTTTTTTGTAAACTTAGAATGCATTATAAAAAGTATGTTCGAAAGTTATTTCGACAGAACTTCCCTCGCTCATGAAGTACCATGAAACATATCCAGCATTGTGATAACCGCTATAAAACAAAAACCGGAGGCATAAATAACACCCCTTGGCCTTCAGCAAGTGTTTTTATGTTTATACATCGAAAGAATGTCACGTAAAAATTAGTTGGATTTGAATGAGTTTGTCTTCTCAAAACCGGACTAAAATTATTAATTAAACCGCAATCGAACAAAATGTTCTGAATATTATAATTCTTATTTTATCATAAAGACGTGCGTATTCTTCATATTTCGAGAAGATGCGGTGACTCGTCCTTAATTTGACCGATAAAAAATTTGTGATGACTTCATCAAGAGGGATAATTCTAATCATAGCATAAAAGAAAAGTAGTCACAGCGTTATACCAATGCCAGAAAAAAAAGGAAAGGGCCAAATTCGGCATCAAACCACAATCGCAGTACCACAGGTCGCCATTATTTCCGATACACCTACTGCACCACCGAGACGTACAAACCGTTACCGGAATAAAACGTTATTATACCTTGCAAATGTTTTTGCGAAAATTTGAACGTTTAGCGAAAAACTGAAAATGGATTCGTACACTACAAGTATATGAGTATATGTTTGTGTAATATTCAAGTCATTCATGAAATTTACCAAATTATGTTAAGCATTTAACCATATAAATGATATTTCTATATACATACAAAAGTTGACAACAATCGGTCCAGCAGTTTCGGAGGCTGGAAACAAAGCGGATCGCTAATATGGAAGGATAATAGGATGCAGGTAGCTGGGTTTTCAGTTGTGGGTAGACAAACACTGTGACCGGTTTGAGCAGTATGCAAAATGTAAACTTATTTCCGTAGAGTACGAAATGGAGATCTGTAGAACAGTTCGACCTTTACAGATATTTTCAGTAACTCACCACAAGAGAACCCATCTTGGATTTTTCGAATGGATTTTCCTAAACTGCTAAAATTGGCGCGCAGACGCCCTCCTTGCTCACTTTCGGACCATTTTTATTTTACATGAGCGAGGGCAATATTGTAATGGTGTTCATTTGAATTCATAATTCCTGAAGTATGAAAAAATAGGTTTCCTTTTTCGCCTCTCTGTCGTTTAGTGGCGATTTTATTTTTAGACACATAATTTCCGAAACGAGTAAACTAGGTGTTGTGCATGTGCCTGTTTCCTGTAATTGGACCTCTGGCCTGTTGGAGACATAATGGAATAAATAACATTAAAAAGAAAATACAAACTTTTGCAGGATGAATGCTATTTAAATTGTATAAAGTAACACTCCTGTATTTGTGGTTTATGAAACCACCTTTATTTTTCGCCGCAAACAATTGTCCATTTTCCATTTAAAGCCACGGGATTGAGAATTAATAAATTCGGCCCCAGGAAGGCTCGTAACCCGAATTTACTCGAATGGGCGTTTCATCCCCAAGCCTGACGGATCAGACTCATTCATCGCCCAAAATCTTTCACTTAAAAATTGTGTACGAGGTGCACCTAAGAAAGTTTTCACTTCAAAAAACATTTTCATAATTAACTCATTGAAATTCATGACAATATATATTTGTTTACAAGTAATGACGCATCACATTTTCCACCTATTGTTAAATTTAAATTAATAAACTAAACAATTGATTCTTACAATTTCATACGGAATGAAATGTAATGAGAGTTAACACATTTAATAGTCCCAACAACAATATTTTACAAACAAACTCTAATTGTTGTTGACTCAAATTATTCCTGGTCGACTTTAATGGAACATTAAGTTTTTAACGTTAGAAACATAAACCCCAATCGTTAGCATTAACAACCTGGAAAGGTGAACTGAGGCAACACTTTGCAATAACGAGATACGTGTTTTGTCCATTATAACAAACTTCCTGAACCTGAACCTTGTAAGTTGCGTAATTTCGTGCCTAAATCGCTATCTAAAATTCAAACAGAGACGTGACAGATACGGTATGAAATTTGTTACTGTAAAATTATAAGACGTACGTAGTCAAAATGGACTACTTTTTATGTGACACAAGTTTTTTTTATAGTAACAAAACATATTTTTAAAAGAATTTTAAAGTTTAAACAAACTATAGACTTTTTGAACTAAACTAATCTGCCTACAATGTAGTTATTTCCTTATATTAACCTACCTGCAGCTCCCCCCACCATTCCTCTTCCGACAAGAGCGAAGAAAAGTGAGTCCTAAAATATACGAAGAATGCTAGTCAAATTACATAAGAAGTATTTTTTCAACACATTTCCATTTAACGAAAGACACTGGTGAATTTTGGCTCCATTTAGAAAATATCTAACCTGAAGACGACGTCATGGAAGTGATCTTAAAAAAATCTGCACTTTTTAAAAGTGCATACAAAGTTCATTACAACCAATAAAAATAAATAAATGAATAAATAAATAAATAAATAAATAAAATAAAGTTTATTTCTGTCGCTGAATCGTTCTTTAGGACGTCTATGCAACGCAATGTAACTTAAATAAAACTTACATTTATGCGTTTCCTCGACATGTTACGACGGATATTATATCACTGACTACTCTTTTACATGTCACTATTTTACGAATTTTAATTATGAACATTATGACACAAATTTATAACATACTTAATTCCTCCTTAATTCCAAACTATTGTGTGAAGGTTAAATGATTTGGTAATAAACCGACATTGGCGGAATATCATTTATGTAATCATTTTATCAAGAATTACCCACTTTGACTACTAAATCCTTTTTTGCGCAGTTAATAAACATACGTTACCTGATAACAACAAATTCTAAGTACATCGAAAATAATTTACTATCAGAAACCAAACATAAACATCAACGTTGCAAACATAAAATAACACAGCAAGATAATGACTGCATAATGCAACACAAACAAAACTTTCAACTTCTTTTGACCTTTAGGTACAGTATCAATCGGGTCATTTAATAAATAGAGTCGTTTACCTAAAGCACAGTTGCGAAAATAAGCGTACCAATCAGTGATTTTTACGTTGAATTTAAAAATTTTCTTATCTTCGTCGCTCATGCCCTTCCACAAACTTATGACATTGTCTTCATCGAACGTCCAGTCTCGAGTGGCAAAATAAGAAGACATTTCAAGCACTCTGTTAATGCGTGTATATCTCTGAACGATCCTGAAAAATCAATAACAATGAATGAAAAAATGGTGCCCGAGAACAAATACCTTGCGGACTTTCCGAAAAAGAAGAAAATTAAGTCTATGAAATAAGCAGGTAGTAAATGTAAACTGAAGTACACGTGGTTCCAAAACTTATTTTCTATTATTTTGAAAGATTTATACCATAAATACTTTTCGGAAGGAAATTCCCAGTAGAACCAATTTATTAACTTAGTGCAGTCCTCTAAAAAAAAAGATAAATATAAAATTGGTTTTAATTTTTCTTTTCTCTTACCACAACTCTTTGGTTCTCCAACACAGTTATATATAACAGGTGACTCTGATTGTGTTATAGCTGCTTTCCATGTTGCCGCTAACACACAATTACACACATGATCAGCTGGTACTAAATTTAGTTTGTTATTTTTTCCTGCATAGAAGCTTCTAACTACACCCACACAAGCCCCAAACGTTATCCCAATGAGCCCGTAGGTGTTATCAATCCATCCCTTTATTGGTTCCTCAATGGTGTTCATGACTATAAATTTCACTTGAAAAAAAACGTTATTAAAAAAAAGTACATACTTATGGACGGTCGTATTATTGCCACTGGTACATTTATATTCGAATTTTTAATCAGATTTTCGGTAATACACTTCGAGTAGACGTAGGTATTGGGCCATTTACCCAATAATCTAGAAAATTGGAAAATCATAAAAGCGTTCCACAAGAATCTACCAGGGGTGCTTTAGTACTCACGGATGTGTGATATTCTGCAAAACATCGTCATCAACGGCGTTGATAAAATTAAGGAACGTGTTAGTATCCATTGGTGGTTTATAGAACTCCTCTGCAATGTGAGAATTGATGCAGTTGGAGTAGGCTGTAGACACATAGATGAACACCTATAAAAAACGTTTGTTTAAGTGTCTACAGTCAATTAATCTTACCTTAAGGTTTGACATTTGCTTCGTTAAATTGACAACATCTCTCGTCGCACTCACGTTATAACTGGCCTCTTTGAAAGATATGTCAAATTTAACGTTGGCAGCTACGTGGAAAAAGCAAGTGGTTTCTCGTTTTAACAAATCTAGGTCCTGGTCGCTTAAGCCCAGAAGGGGTCTTTTGCAGTCGCCACTGATAAGAAAAACTTTGTCTCTTAACTTCTTTCCTCTTATGAGATCAAAACACTAAAACAAATATAGATTATGCTGTTGAGGCACATTTCGTGGTGGCTTACGGGGAAGTTAAAGAGCTCGTCAAAGCGTTGTTGAGGGGTTTTGCCACTTTTTGAACGCATCAACACGTAGATCTTCTTCAGATCCCAACATGTTCGTAGCAGTTTCTCGATGAGGAGTTTTCCCAGAAAGCCTGTTCCGCCGGTTATGAAGATTGTCTGGTTTTTGAAGAACTGGGCGATTTGGCTGTTTTCTAAAGACATGGTAATGTGCAATGGTGACAATTGTCTGTAAAAGGAAAAGTCTAGAGTAGAAGGTTTTGAAGAATGTACTTAATGGAAGTGAAAGTGAAAAAATATTGAAGAAAATTATTGAAAAGAAAAAGTTCTCTAATAAAAAAGCAAAAAGATAATGAAGAAAAATTAGGAATAAAAATCTGAAGAATTGAAAAGTACAATAATTTTTTTCATTTTGTCTTGAATTTTAACTTTTTTACTATTTTGTCATTTAGAAAAAAATTCATTCATTCATTCATTAATCAATAAAATTATACCAACACAATAACCACTTGACAAAATTAAATTTAAAAAAGTGCATGTTACGCAATGATGTTATTGAATTAATTTTTGAAAATAAAAATTAGAAGTCTAAAACTTACTGAAGCTTTCACCATTCACGTGGAACCACCACACTGAGAAGCTGTTGTTATAGTGTTTATTATAAAGGTGCTTCAGTCTAGCGTAACTGGTCGGTCAAGGTTGTCTACGTGTGCGAAATTGGGTAAAGGATAAATACGAAAAAAGTCAAGTTTAAGGTTTAATTTATCCCCAAAATGTAACAAAGCGTCAAACCTTTCCGTGAAAAAAAAATTAAATCAAAGCGTCAGCAAGCATTATAAAACGCTCAGAATAGTGTTGGCAGACGCGTTACCGATTCTTTGAAACAAAAACACATTGTTTTAATATGTCTAAAAACCGAGAAAGATTTATCTTGTCTTTCATTATAACATAATTGTAGTATATTTAAATATGTATTTAGTAGATAGTTTTGTATCAGTATGTGAATTAAAAAATAAATGCTTTATACTTACAAGAATTATAGTGCAAACACCACCTAAAGCGCCAGGTACGCTAGTGAAAATTGAAGCTTGTCTTGTGGACAATTAAACGGAACTATTTAAATTACCATAACCTTAAAAATGATTTGATTTACAAGCGCGATGAGTGGGTAAATGAAAATTTCTGCGATTGTCTGTAAATTGGTTTAAGTTTTATTGTTCTCTGTATGTTGGATAACACAGATTTAATCATTTAAGCCCACGGATTTCGCGTGTTTGCCGTGTTATCTTTCGCACAATTCTTTAAGCATCTTATCAGATAATTGTTATATCATCTGCATGCATGTTTTAACATTTTTTTCGACGTCTCAGTGTTGTTGCGACTCGTATTTACCAAATGTGTGTCATAAGTTTACATTAGGAAACACGACAAATTCAGACACCTGGATAAAACAAAAATTAAAAATTGGTCTAAGGTTATTTAGACAGAACTTCCCTCACCCCTGAAATACATTCAAACAAATAAAAAAAATAATTGTCCGAATTTTACTTATTTTTATGACAACCCCTATAATTTAATTATTCAGTGATTTATGTTCGAAAGAATGGGACGAGTAAGCACGTAGCAAGTTGTTTCCTCAAAGAAATCAAAACAGAGGAAGTCTCTAAAATTATGAGTTAACCTACAACCGAGCAAAATGTTCTGAATATTATATTGTGTAAGTAGTTGTTACTATGATATTCCTAATTTTATTATTATTAATTAGTAATTCAACATTTTTACAGATCAGCCAGCGTTCGCTACAGGTCAGGGCATTTCTACGGTATAAAATGTAAATGTATAATGTTGATTCTTTTTGCGACAATTTGTTAAAACTAAAAGCGGATTCATAAACTGCAAATACAAGAGTACGTTATTTTATAAAACTGAAATGACATTTCCTAAAAAAAATTGTGGGGACGTTATCAAATGTCGATACTTAACCAAATTTTGGTCAACGATTTACCATCTACAGGATTAGAATCCATTTCCTTAAATTTCAACTCACATTGTCCCCTTCGTTGACATTTTCAATGTCAGGAGTATAATGAGGTGTTAGTAAATATTAGTGATTAACTGATTAAGGTGTTCACCAGAAAATTAAGATTTGCTATGTTTTATTACACAAGTCATCGCTAATCCAGGAAAATCTGGTGTTATCTTTAACCTCAAATATATGTATACAGTATACAGGGTGCTTCAAAAAAGGCCCACTTCACTATATAGCACAATCATATCTTTCCATCCTTTGGATAAACCATTGCTTGAAATACACTCGGCATCAATTCTGAGGAAATGTCAAATTTAACATTATTGTATCTGACACTACGATACCTATGTTTGACTTTTTCTAAAATATATTATGAAATATCAAAGACGGTTTTAAAATTGCATTTGTAGTTGTGTTTTGAATTTTGTAGGCGTGAAGCTTCTGGTGAATAACCCTGTATATACCACATTACGCTATTGTTAACTTTAACGCAAGAAATCTTAGACTACTACAATATTTCTTTGCTCACTTCGAAAATATTTGAAATTTTAATTCTGAAAAACACTTAGTACTTATTATTATTATTACTATTATACCACAAGTATTCAAGTTGATATACATGTTCCTGGAAAATTGTTGATAACGTCATCACAAAATTTTCTAATGGAAAAACTCACTTGAAACATACACATAGCATGCTTCTTTACCTTTACTGTAAGATTACACGCATAACTAATAGGGTTATCGTAAAAAATAAAGTTCGGGAAATTAAATCTTATGCTTTTTCGAAAAAATTGGATTTACTGGACTGTTTCACGGGCAAGGGATGTTCTGACTAAATAACCTTAGAGCAATTTTTTGTTCTTTCTTTCAAAGCGTCGGCAAAAGTATAAAGTCGCCATAACCTTCAACTTAATATTGAACGAAATTTTCAAAATATTGAAATATCGATTTTTGAAAATTGTAATCATTATTTTTTATAAATCTTTGTATTAAAACTAAATTTTATTTTTATCACAACAACGCAAGTACCTGTAATTTTTTTGTGAACACATTGCTGCAATAGTCCAAAAAAATGCAATAACGTAGCAAAGAAGAAGTCAGTGATAACATGTAAAAATATATGGGGCATTCCATTCGACAACACCAAGTTGTGTTACGTCTTAAAAGCAAAACGCTTTATATGGTCCTCAAAAAACCGTACAAGTTTAGTGGCTTAGTGGGCCACCTTGTATATAGCAATGTGTCAAAATTTTCTTGCTGTTTTTCGTACCGCCGAAAATTGTCCGTTGAATTGAAAAATACTCCGAAGTCTACTAACTTTATACCGGATGTCTGGAAAATGGCGGAGTAACTCTTCAGCGGCTTACTTTCTGATTTTTTAGTAACGATGGTGACTAAAATCCATTTTTTTTTTTATTTTTAAGACAATAACCATAACAACCAGTAGTCATTAATCGTCTTGCATTATCTTATACTATTAAACGAGCAAAGTTTGTATATATATATCTATATATATATATATATAATGGGTTTCTCGAAAACGGCTCTAACGATTTCGATGAAATTTACAGGTTGGGGGTTTTTTGGGTCAAGAAATCGATTCATCATAGTTTTAACTTCTGAAAATTACAGCTTCATACATTTTCAGCAATTTTCAGGCAGTGAATTATATTTGTTGCTAGGCAACATCAGATGACACTACACGAACACGAGATTGTTTTATAAGAGAAGTTTGGGTGACAGTCTGACAGTACGTTTGACGTACCTTTTTATCTTCAATTGTACGTACCGAAACATACTCCACTGTATAGAGGACGTTAGAATTCACCTTCTGAGGTGAGAAAATTTACGGAAAACTAAACAGTGAGCGGATAAAAGGCACACGAAAATGCGTTGAATTGAAGTTATGTTGTCAAGCATTCATTTCAGAGGTTCCACGGTCCTGGAGCCAATGTGTGATCGTTTTCCGAGATGGGACCGTGTTATTTGAGTTTTTGGGCTCAACGTTTCGCACACTTTCGTAAATGGCATCTTCGGGAGCAGGGTTGAGATTGAGAAATTAGGAATAACGCAAAAGAGCACGGTAACTCAGTATATTAACCACACCAGAGGCAAAACTCTTCTGGCAGTAAGAATGTGGTTGTGACCTTTTTCTAGAGTCGAGAGAGAGAACTAGGAAAAAAAAAAGAACGACAGAGAGAGAACTTGGGTAACAAATGAGATATTAATAAATGTCAAACAATAATTCCAGTTTTCTATTCTTTAATCTCTACATGTCACTCATCAGTATTTAAAACAAAGACTGCTTATGGAATTTCTTTTTTAATGTGTATTTTTAAGTAGCGCTGGTACTTCAAAATGCATACTATACGCATATTTATCTGTCCTAATCTGATCTAACACTACCAAACGAGCCGAGTGAAGCTCGGTCAACCAGATATTTATTAATAAAACAAGCTGTTATTTTTCATTAATAAATAAACCAAAAAAAAAACATTTAATAAGACAATATAAATTATAAACAAAAACAAAATCAATAAAAGGAAAATCCATTAAAGCATAACCAACTAAACACTAGAGATGTTCAAAATTCCTGCCTTGTGCGTAATGTTTCCAAATTTTGATAATTTTTTGTAAAAATTAGTCATCAGTACTTGCTAAGATAAAACTGATTTTGGCAAATGGCATACCCTCTAAGAAAAGAAAGGGTGGGTGGGCGGGGCTAGAAGTTGCTAAGATAAGACCGATTTTGCGAAATGAGATACCCTCTAAGATAAGAGAAGACGGGTGGGCGGGTCTACTAGCTGATAAGATAAAACTGATTTTGGCAAATGAGATACTCTCTAAGAGAAGAGAGGGCGGGTGGGCGGGGCTAGCATCTGCTAAGATAAAACTGATTTTGGCAAATGACATACTCGCTTAGAAAATAGAGGGCGGGTGGGTAAGGTTAGTACCTGCTAAAATAAGACCGATTTTGGCAAATGACGCTCTAAGAAAAAAGAGGGTGGGTGGGCGGCGCTAGTACCTACTAAGATAAAACTGATTTTGGCAAATGACATACTCTCTAAGAAAAGAGAGGGTGGGTGGCCGAGGCTAGTAGTTATTAAAATAAGTCCGATTTTGGCAAAAAATGACATACACTCTAACAAAAAAAAAAGAGAGGTGGGTGGGCGGGGCAAGTACCTGCTAAGATAACATCGATTTTGGCAAATGACATATCCGCTAAGAAGAGAGAGGGTGGGTGGGGGGGGGGGCTAGTATGTGCTAAGATGAAACTGATTTTGGCAAATGAGATACCCGCTAACAAAATAGAGGGCGGGTGGGCAAGGCTAGTACCTGCTAAATTAAGACCGATTTTGACAAATGACTTACACTCTAAGAAAAAATAGGGTGGGTGGGCGGGGCTAGTACCTACTAAGATAAAACTGATTTTGGCAAATGACATATCCTCTAAGAAAAGAGAGGGTGGGTGGCCGAGGCTAGGACTTGTTAAAATAAGTCCGATTTTGGCAAACGACATACCCTCTAAGTAAGGAGAGAGCGGGTCAAGTACCTGCTACGATAAGATCGATTTTGGCAAATGACATATCCGCTAATAAAGGAGAGAGTGGGTGGGCGGGGCTAGCATCTGCTAAGATAAAACTGATTTTGGCAAATGACATACTCGCTTAGAAAATAGAGGGCGGGTGGGCAAGGTTAGTACCTGCTAAAATAAGACCGATTTTGGCAAATGACGTACGCTCTAAGAAAACGAGGGTGGGTGGGCGGCGCTAGTACCTACTAAGATAAAACTGATTTTGGCAAATGACATATCCTCTAAGAAAGGAGAGGGTGGGTGGCTGAGGCTAGTACTTGTTAAAATAAGTCCGATTTTGGCAAATGACATACCCTCTAAGTAAGGAGAGAGCGGGGCAAGTACCTGCTACGATAAGATCGATTTTGGCAAATGACATATCCGCTAATAAAAGAGAGAGTGGGTGGGCGGGGCTAGTATCTGCTAAGATAAAACTGATTTTGGCAAATGACATACCCGCTAACAAAATAGAGGACGAGTAGGCAAGGCTAGTACCTGCTAAAATAAGACCGATTTTAGCAAATGACGTACACTTTAAGAAAAAATAGAGTGGGTGGGCGGGGCTAGTACCTAC